ATAACATTGCAGTCCACCATTTCATTCCATTTGGATCTATTTCACCACTCCTTTGAAGGAATGCATATGTTAATAATGCTGCAAATGGTGCGGCCATAGAAAAAATGATCAAGTGTTTTCGAATCTGTCGACGGGTATATCCATCGCGTAGCAAAACTGTAGCTAATCCAAAGGCCGCTGGCGCTTTATGAAGCCTTATTGCCAAAAACACAATAAATTCTAATGTTGGTTCTTTTGCAGATGCGCCCAGGGCAATTCCATCAGCAGCGGCATGTATTACAAGACCAATCGTAGCAGATACGGGTTTCTTGTGTATAGTTGAAGATCCCAATATCTCATGTGAATCATCGTCTCGCTCATTACCATTTGATAACGAACGAAGCTCTGTTAGGCTAACAACACTAACACGGGTATGAGAATGACCATGTGAGGTATCTATTTGATCAATCACAAACATTATCGCGAATCCTGTTATTAAAGCAATACCAACATAAAGATGATTTATATTTTCTTTCCCATGGTCATGATCCGTATCCGGAAGATCTTTCTCTGGATTTTTTGGATCTTTACCATTAGGAGGGTCTAGTGGCTCATTAGCTTGGTTTCGTTCTTCTGGTATACTATTTAAACTTAATTCGCTACGTTTTAATTTATTGTCCCACCAGCTACGTTTTTCGAGAGTATTGTCGGCCATGCTCATAAAGTCATTGCTCTGTGGAATACCGCTGTGATCGTTCGGTTGTACTTTATACAATTGTTCGATTCCTTCAGGTATGATGACGATCAGTGCCGCGCCTACTAAAAGGCCAACACCAAACACTGAAATTATTCGTAATCTATCTTCAGACAAGTGAAATGCTAATGGGATACTTCCCGAAAGAAATGACCCAATAAACATGGTTATTGATAGAAGGAATAACCATAAAAAGGCATCCATGGCACTTATACGTAAACGTTTATTAACAAATAAGGTTTTGTTGTAAATTTGTCTTTCAAAACTAATACTGAAACCTAATTTTTTATCAATAAATAACAAATGAGGTTTCCTTTTGATAGAATGGTCGTTGAAACACTCGAATATTAAATTTTGTGCTCGACTTTATAAGCTGTGATTTGTAAGTTAGTTTTTAATCATTATCACGTGTATTTAAAGTTCTAATTGGTCGATCACAAATTGAATCGCGAAATTCATGTAACACAAATAAAATAACAATTGCCTATTATAGGATGAAATATCTAGCTTTAATCAGTATTAATTTAAATAATAAATGTAAATTCGGAAATTACAATTCTTCGTGAGTTATTTTATCACCATCTTTATGGAAACCTGACAAAATGTTCTTGCGAATCGTGAAATCATCAATTTTACTACCAGAAATTGTACCAGACTTGATTATTTTGTCTAATCTGGCAATCTCGTTTACAGCATAATCATCTTTTTCCACAATCTTATTCATGATTTTGACGTAATAGTGTGCCGGCCTAAATTCATTCCAAAACAATTAATTTTATTATTAAAAACAGTTTGTGGACGAAATGTGAATTTTTACAAACCGAGTATTTAATTTATCAGCAATTGCTTGTGACTCTACGATAATCTTGCTAATTTCTGTTTTTCCAGGAGCATTATTGAATTTTACTACCAAAGCCTCCAATTCAGAGATTTTACCAGCCTATATGACAGAAAGTTAATTAAAGATAAAATAAGTCATATTAATGCATATATTATATTTACCTCTTCTGACAATAAGCCACCAACAAGGCGTTGCTTCCCACATTTTTCATTCAAGAACTTAACAAAATCTTCTTCAGTTCTTCCACCTTCGTAATTAATTGGTGTTTTGTCTTCACCCTTGGGGAAAAATTTTATTGTAGGGTAGCCAGAAACTTTGTACTCATCGCCAATATCTTTGCTAACAGTTGCGTCAAGATTAGCAACAACACACTAATTTTGAATAAACAATATTAATTTCATAGCATCAATTAGCTAATATCAATTTACAGTTAACCATTAACATACGTCTGACTCTTGGGAATAATCTTGCGCGACCTTTTCGTAAATCGGAGCTATTAATATAAATGTATATTTTCTAAGATTTAAAGATATTAATTATTTTAACAATGATAGTCCAAGCTTATATAATTAACCCTACCTAAATTCTTGCAATGTCCACACCAAGGGGCATAAAATTCAACCTTAAAGCAAAACAATTGGAATTACATAAAAGCAGTTTTCAGATGGATAATCATCAGGGGTACCGAAAATTCAATTGCAATTAAATTATTACACAATCACATTCAGTTGCAAAACAATTAATTGTGAAATAATTATAATTGCATTTTTTACATATTAATTATAATAAGTTATTTTTTAACTATAATTTTGACGTCAAAGATCAGCAGGCAAAAAATTGCAATTAATTGACCAATTGTAGCTGCGCCACCAATCAATTAATTGAGGTCAAATAATTGCAATTAATTGCTCTCACAATCAATTATTCGGTAGCCCTGAATATATATCGATTACAAGTGATTTAAACTAGGTTTTGATTGGGGTTTTTTTTTTATGTTACATCTGATCTAGCCAATCAAAATTTAGAATTTGCTAACACACGGACATCAGGTGTACTATTGCTCGTCCTTCGGACAATTAATTGTCGGTAAAATGAACTTGTCGTTGAATTAATTTCGGTGAACTAAGCTGTCTGTGAAGTAATTGTTGATGAAATAGGTAACTAATAAGCAGTCTAATGATTTAATGATTTACCAAATAGGGATTGGAACCGTTTAACCGTTTAAAAATTGTTCCATAATTTCGGGCAGAATTATGTTGGTCGTGGGCCGGAATTATCTTAATGTCGGTCAAATTAAACGGTTAAACGATTAACCGATTAAGGTGGTTCCAATCCCTATTACCAAATATGGGGTCGTCTAAAGCGGGTCAAATTCACGTGATAACAGCCAATCAAATTATAGATTTTTGATGGGAAAAGTCTCCGGACCAGTGTCTGAAATT